CACCCCATGCATGGGTAGACAGATATGAGGGTCCTGGCAGGGTTGTGAAGGTGAGTGTAAAGCCAATGCCACGCCAGAGCATCCCTCCAGAGCGGCCACCCCGCATCTCCAGAGACCAGTGAGTGCCCCATGTTCTCCAGGGACCATCGGCCACCCTGTGCATCCCTCTCTACTATGCAGTCCATGACCACCATGTCCTTCATTGTTGTCACCCCCAAATTGTGATACTGTCACAAAACTGTTGCTAGGCAACAAATGTGGTTACCAGGTCTCAGCAAATAGCTAAAAGGGAAAGTGAAGTGTTACACCATTGTAGAATCACCATAGCAATGACCTACTATTACAGACTAAAGAATTATCATTAACAATGTTAAAGTATCAAACAGGGGCCCAGGATCTAAATACTTTCAGGCAGCATCTCTGCATAATTGGATTACCCAGGAAGAGGTCCCAACTCTTTCACAGCCCTTGGTTCCCTATCTCCATTGTCTTGGGTTTTTGGAGGAGGTTGGGGAGGAAGGGGTTGTTTAAATAAAGCACATATACTGTGCATTGAAGGAGACACTTGTAATCAACAGAAGCACCCACCAAAAAAAATACAAAGGTAAATCTATATTCAGACAGAGGATACAAACAGGAAATGTCCACTTTACTGCCTCAGTATCATCTATGGGAAAGGGTGCAGAAAGGATGCCTTCGTGATGCATAGGATGTTGTTCAAATCAGGTGTTGTCTTTCATTTAAAAATGTATATGCCAGCCTAAAAACAGTGTAAAATGAAAAATAAATAATGCAAAATGTCAGCCCTGAAAAGCAGACACTTTTTTTACCCAAGATAGGCCAGACATATGACGTGCTTTAAAGGAGCAAGAGTAACTATGACTCTCTTAAGATGGGACCATTGGTACCAGCTGTGCCCTGCTGCAGACACTGCACCTCCCCCTGGTCCTGCCAGATGCCCTTCATGGGTAACCAAGTCGGTCTTTGCTCCAGTTGTGGGAATTATGGTTACAACTGCCCTGTTGGCAAATTCACCACCCATTGATAGTATTCAGGTGAAACACTCGAGCACATCGCTCACATGAACCGCCAAGCTCTAACCCACGGGGTGGTATAGCAGGGTAGAGTCTGACAGTTTCTTAGAGGGTAGCACTGTAATGACTAATGGGACCCTCACGGGATAGGTTTAGGCCTGCTTACCAGTCAGGAGCAAGTCTGGATTGACCTCTGTACACTGCTGCTAGGGCTCCAGACCTAGTTGCAACCCAGGGGAGTGTCAAGCAGGGGGAGACACATGTCGATGCCAGACCCTGACACAGGTACTGGCTGGCCGTAACCTTTTCCTAACTGATCCAGACAATGAAAGTTACCAAATTGTCCGAAAAATACCAGGCTGGCCCACAGTGGGAATTGTTTCAGTTCTCATTACTTGCGAATCCACCTAACCACAAAAGGTGAACAGGCTACCTTAACTTAAGCTAGAAAAGGGGCACAAGTGTGTTCAATAAATAGCAGGGTACTTTTTCCCAGGACCGAGACATGTTCAGGATCTCTGACCTGTGATCTGAGCGGCTATGTGTGTGTTTGTGTGTCTGTCTGTCTGTCTATGCAGTTATTCCTGCCCAGCTGCCCCCAGCAGCATCACTGACTCCCGCTAGGCTCCCCGTAGACCAGATGCCAGCAGCTGGATGGCTTCCCTAGGGTTTGTGTTTTCACATTTACCAGGGCATTTACCCTGCATTTACCATTCAAGCAGCCAGCAGTCACAGAAGGACCCCCAGTCACTGTCATCTTTGTGTTTTGCAGGTACAGAACGACATGAACTAACTTCCTGGAAAAGTTTTCCATCTATTTTCAAGTTCTTCAGTGAGGCTGTAAAGGCAAAAAACAGCTTGGTGAAACCAACCCCAACACGGCGCTCCAACAGGATAAAATATGAAGAATTGTAAAAGAGTGATATAAAGTAAAAGCAGCAACAATGTCTTTGTTCCTTTTTTTCTGCAAGGAGTCTCCCAGCCCCTCATTAGATTGTTTTCTTCCTAGAGCACAGGGTCGTGATGTATACATCTAAATAGCGTTTTGCATTATTTCTAGATGAGTGCAACTGTCAAAGCAATATGGGTTCACTGGTTGTGCTTCCTGTGGGCTGTAACTTGGATTTTGTGCTGCCCATCAGTGCGCAGATTAAGGCTGACAGTGGTACTGCATGGTGCAGCTCTAATTGCCCTGACATAGCCCTTCACCAAGCTGATGCCAGAATTTAACAACTTTGTCGTGGTCCTATTGCCTGCAGGATTTTTTGCTGCTTCCTTCTGTTTTAAGACAGAACAAAATAGGAATTACTCTTTTTTAAAAGATGGCTCTAACCATCCTGTGATTTTACACCCAGTCACCTTCTCTTTCTCTAGGACCAAGTGGGATCAACTTTTAACTCTTCCATTTTTCTGCTGGTAAGTGTCCAGGAAGTTTGGTCCAGAATTGTAGGAAAGCCCCATTGTTGTAGAGATTTTATTCTTCTGACGGATCAATGGCATTTTCTGTAGATCTTCTCTTCCTTTCGAAAGCTCCACTTGCATAAAAAATGGGCTGGATCACACTGTGAAATATGACAGGAAAAAAGGAAAAAGAGCGACACATTGCATATTTTCCTGTTTATTTTTAAGCACAAAGATGCTTCTGTTTTTATATACCATATTTATAATGACTTACCATCCTGAGGTTGTTCCCTTTTTCCTAAACTCACAGGTTCATCCCTACTTTCCCAGGCCTGGGGGAAGGTTGGCCAGTGGGACAGACTGCGCTGGGACGTAACGCCTAGTGTTGGGGGGAACGGCTGTAGGCATCACTGGCCCTGTAGGCAGCTTTTCTCAACTAAATCTAAGGGACAGGACATGCCCGATAGCGTTCCGCAGTGAGCGAGCCTGCTAGTTAAGCACCTTTACAGAGAATTTTTCTTCAATGACCATGTCTGCCTCACCTCTGATGCTGTTAGTGCCGAGGAAGCAACACTGGAACACATGGGTTTGGGACCCCCATCCCACCCCCCGTCATGTAATGTGTCCAATCCCACGGGGGCCAGGAATGGGGGGGGAGAATTTAAACGAGGTGGCGCAGGAGCGGGGGGACCCCCCTTTTTTTTTTCACCGCGCAGCAGAAGCAGCAGTGTCCATAGTGAGGTGCAAGGGTAACCCGGCTGGGTTTGGGACTAGATCCCTCGGCTGAGGCACGTCAGAGCGCTCACATCCCTTCCTTGCTCGTCCCGACAGCCGGGCTTCGCTTCCTCAGCTCCCGGCTGCAGTCAGCCCTCTGCTCCTCCCCTTGGAGCATCCCCGCCCCGGGCGGAGTGGGGGAGGTGTCGGGCACTGCCTCCGCGGAGGGAAGCGCAGAATCCGCGCCCGGCGGTTTTACTGCAGGTAGGGGAACCTGTTGCTGGGGGAAAGGTCCGCACCGGGCTACCTCTTCGCCTTCCTCCCCATAACGAGAATGCTGCTGCCTGCAGCCGGCCTGATCTCTCGCCGCGACGGTCGGCAGGGTTTACACGGCGTGTTTTGGGTGTGTGCTTCGTCCCACAGACGGGGAGGATGGGGAGGTGGTTTGCACACACACACACACAGCCCGCCACTCTCCCTTCTCTGGGAAGGTGCAATGGGGTCTCTGGGGTGCAAATGTCGCTGGAGCGGATCTGTGTTTTTTAACTGTCGATGAGAAACGAACTGCACAAAAAATTTTACTGCAACGCTTGCCCCTCCTTTGAAAGCATTTTTCGTTCCCGTGCCCCTGACCCAGCTAGCAATATCGCTTCTGTGGGGGGCTGTAAAGCACAGGGGAGATCTTCGCCACTGGCACTGCTCTGCTTGCAGTGAACCAAAAATAAAGATGCTCTTTTCTCTCCTCGTTGCACATTTTATGTCCCCGCGCCCGGCTGCGCAGACACCGCGGTCCC